TGCATTATATTAATTTAAATAAAATTTGCATTTTTTTTATAAATAGAATTCATATTGAATTTTAAAACTCTTCTATGTGTTATTTTTATTTATCTCGTAAATTGTACTTTCGCCACATTAAACTAATAAAGTGTAGTTTCAAAAGTTATTATACTGATTTACGAAATGATATTTGATTTAATAAATTCCAACATTTTACATATCGTTACACCGTTACCCGAAAAACTGTCAAAAGAAGGAGGATAAGAGATTGTTAGTAAAGAAAACTAGTGGTACCATTGCTTGCAATATATCCTATCAGATCGATCTCCACGCAGTTCCCTTGAAAACATCATGATTAATTCTTATTGTATTCGTCACGATAGGCTAAATGATCTGCTTTCATACACACCTATCATCCGTCACTGGTTCCCCACCAGCGTATATCGATAATGCAGGTGAGATTATCGATAATAATTTAAGATTATGTTCCACAAAAATAAAATACTTTATTTGTGGCAAAACCAGTTATTTCGATTTCAAAACTAAATTATTAAATCGATTTTGATAAAATTTCTATGGGGCCAATCTGTAAAGATATACTTTTAGATAAAAAAAGAATTTACCAATTCAGTTTACAACTAATGGAGTTATAAGTTAAAAACATAAAAAAATACAACCTCCTTTTTGAATTCTCAAAACCAGAAAGACTAACTGTGTGCTACTGCAATGAAAATATACCTATTAGGCAAGCGCGCCTTGATCATTTAACCGAACGGACTGGCATAACGTGCCGTCCGGACCAACTGATCGTTAGGTTTATAAACCGTACGGGTACAATCGTGCGTATGCGGTGCACCGCTCTATTGTACGTTGGTAATTGATGCCTTTGACTCACTGATTAATCGAATCGAGGAACCACACACGAAAACCCGTGCGGCCATGCTAAACAATTTTCACTTCTCGATTTGTTGACGGTGAGTGTTTACACTTCCTAGTTAGTGGTATCGGCCAGATTTGACCTTTGTCTTTTATGAGCGCTTGACCATAATACACATGTAGAAAAAAAATTTACGTTTTTAAATGTATAAAGATATATTAGTCTTCAAGTTTATTAGAATTAAGACTTTGGTCGAACTTCTTCCTAACCAAATAAAAATAAAATAAATCTAATAATATGTCATCCCCATTTTTATAAAAATCTAGTAATTTTTTCTCATGCTGGATATTTATCACGTCAATAGGAATGTTTCTTTTTTATATATAATGTTCTTTATTGTACTAAAATATACATTGCTAATAGCAATTAAAAACAATGTAAACAAAGGTGAACTTGTTTCTAAAAGAGATCTTTTCTAGTCAACCTAGCACAGCGGCAATAAATAAAATAGAAAAAAGTGGGTAGCCTGCAGTAATAATCTAAACAACAATAATAAGTATTCACATAATTTACAAATCACTGTACCTATATATGAAATATACAATATTAATAACTAACCTATATAAATATAAACCTACATAAATAAGTATATTTATATATATTAAATATACAATATACACATATTAATAAATGAGAACAACATGATGACAATCTTATAATCAATAATATTAGTAGGAAATAATCAATCTTTTTTATTTATTTGAATTATATCCTACAGCCTCAATGGTCGCGTACTGCGCGGTTTCAGAGATGTTTCCTCCCACGAACACTCAGGTTGTGGAATGAGCTCCCTACCGAGGTTTTCCCAAGAGACTACAGCATGGGGTTCTTCAAAAGGGAGGTAAAGAGGTTTCTTCAGGGTCGGCAACGCACGCGTAATACCTCTGGTATTGCAGGTGTTCATAGGCTACGGTAACCACTTACCATCGGGTGGGCCGTATGCTTGTTTGCCACCTCAGTGATATAAAAAAAAAGATATTACAAATTTATGAACATTAAATAAATTTTTTCCACTGTATTAATCGAGGTCGGCAGCACCCTTTTATCCTCCTGTCACGTCTCCCCGTCATCCAGTTACCTTCGCATTCATATATACACACATTCACATCTTCCTTACAAATATCGTTTTTCGTGTAGACCATCCATCTTGTCAATGACCTTCCATTTGCCTTTTATTTATAAAATTTATTAATAAGAGGTACCTAAATGTATGTAACCTATATATTGGAATCAATAGTACACAACTAAGTAGGTATAGCTACTTCCTGTGACTTTGCTCGCGTCATTTTCTCTATATAATTACCTTTCTCATGACTGCTTACATCATAAAATTATTATGAGGAATCATACATTTATTATTTTATATTTCGAATGTAACCTGTCAATATTATCATTATCATCAAAGCCCTTGATCAATATCATAAATTACGAAAAACTAAATACTACCCATACGAGTACATCAAAATTCTAAAAAAAGGAGCGATATGTATTGTTTATTTTTTAGGGTTTCGAATCAATAGATGTACAAAGGAACCCATCTTTGTACCTTTTATGGTACGGAACTTTTTATGCTACAACTTTCCTTCTATCCGTATGTTATAGCGCTATATTTCAGAATTTCAGCATTTACTGGTCCATTCATAATGCAAAGAAGATAATTGGAAATATATTTATAACATTTTTATTTTCTTCTGCTACAAGGTTAAAAACGAGCTCAAATTGTCTACTAATCCAGTAGACTCATTTTGAATCTAAAATTTTTACTTTATAAAGACATATGTGTGCATTAAAGGATAAATTTGATGATTCTTCTAAAGTTTTTCGGAAATTATTAAATAAAAATCACAGTCAATGTTATTTGCCTAGGCGGTCCGTTATTTGACCACATTTAAAGGAACAAGGAATTCCAAATTTAAATAATAATAAATATTATATATTAATAAAAAGTATATTATATATAGTATACTATTATTATTAAGTGTCTATTTCGTATAAAAATACTATAAACACATAACACATAAGCTCATTTGAACCCATAACATCTTATTAGTATAAATTTTTGTTTAACGAAAATAAACTTTTATTTAAAATATTGTTTCTTGTACAGAACCTTCGGCGTGTGAGTTCAACTCACACTTAACAGGTTTTATTTGACTATACATATACATTGATAATTCTTATTTATAGACTCCAAGTTTTTCGTTTCCAGAACGGAGATAAAAGGTCTCGCGTCACTGGCGAAACTATTATTAGATTTTGTTAATAATATGAACACATATTTATCCTTAATATGACAATATAAATGAAGAAAGGAAAACCACGCACCCTATAAGTAGGTCAAGAAAGATAACAACCTTGACATGTTTTCAAGTTTTATGCTTTGATGTAGTTTTGATGTTTAGTTTATATCATGATGCACGTAAACAAATTGAGCAAATAATGACAATTTATAAACTAATTAACCTGTGTTTATTAGTTTACACATTGACCTTATTTACTACTGACTTAAGATAATTTTAACTCAATTACAACGTTTTACATTTTTACTCTTACTATTAATTATACTTTACTATTTGTATCAAATCTATTTATTATTAGTTCTAACCACAATAATAATATTTAATAATAATGTAAGCATTTTTCTAAATTAATAAAAAAATCTTATATGTAATTTTTTTATTTTATTAAAAATTTTTTACGTATTAGATGCAATAAAGAGTTCAATAAATAAGTCGCTATTTATTTTACGAACGGCACGAAAAATTGACTCGTAACTATATAAGTAAAAGATATAAAAAAATCTTTCCTCTGTTGAGAACTGGCAAAAATATTGTGTGACATATGGCTACATAAAAAGTGTCGGAGAATAATCGACTCCTTTTTGAAAGATGATCAAATAAAAAAAAGAATTTCATTGACATTTAAGTCAACCTTCTGAACTTGAAGTATTAATCATAATGTGTCGTGTTTTTTATACGAAATAGAAGATATAATAATTATTATTATTATTGAAATTTTACTTTGAGCCAAACCTGTAAATAAAAAATCAAAACGCACAAAATAAATTCATTTCTCAAGGTTTTTTATTATATCTTAAAATTTGTAATATCAACTTTATATCTTTATCAACTTTATTTCAAATTTTTCGCTTCATAAACTTCTAAGATAGGAGGATGATATTTTCTGGATATTTTCCATCTGAAGTTAAAAAATATGTGCTATGAAAACAAAAGCGAAATCATTTTTTGAATATATAAAAGCAATTATTTCACAAAATGACAAAAGGTGTTCTTGTAAAGAAAATAAATTTACTTTTTAAGACATAATGAAGTGATAATCATTTTGTGCATGTCTTGATAGTGTACCCTCTGTGGGTTACATTCTACAACTACTTTTACGACTTGAATTTCTAAGCTGTATATAGTTTTCATAGTATCGGTTAGCTATGGTTTGGAGCTAAACTTATATTTATATATTATTTAGATAAATGCAGCCTAAATAAATTAATAATACAAGCATTACTTCAAAAATAACTCCAATCAATAATTTTGAGGTATCTATAGAAATAGTCAATCAAAATAGCATCGAAAAATTAAAAATTATGTCAATAACTTGCTTTTACTATCTTCAATTTAAGTTAATTGCCTAGTAATACTTTATGACTATAGCAAAAGACAAAAGTACAAAACTATATCAGCGCATTCAAAAATACATTAATATTTAGCGAAAGAGGTCTGTCAGCAGTGGCTATCACTTTGATAATGTCATTTAGTTGCAAACTAAGCCACATTTATTTGATTTCTAAAACTGGATTTAGACATGTTTTGACACGTAAGCCTTGTTTCACATAAAAACCCACGCCACCGCGTCTCCCACCACTTATATTTTACGGACGTGGAATGTATCTTAAAATATAGGCAAAAATAGAACCAGAGCCCTGCCCTTCTCTTCCTCTCTTAAGCATATCTCATTTATTGCAATAATATGTAAGGTTAGCTGTTTCATAACTACAATAAACTCATCATGCCAAGTACCTAAAGAGCCTGCATTAACCCTAGAACACTAAACTTATTTTTCAACGCTTATTACTAACCTTCGTCGTTTCGACTACGCTGTCAAAAAAGTAGGTTTATAAAATTTTATTGAATAAAATACTTATTTCTTTTACAATATTTGTTTATTACAATCATTTGTTAACAAAAATATAACATTCTTATTTAATTAAATCACATATTTATTACATAATCAGCCTTTTTACTGAGATCATATTTTTCGCTCTAAATAAAGATATTTGTTTTTTTAAGTGCTTATCTCTTAAAAACTAGAAAAAAAACTTTGAAAATGATGTCAAATAATTAAAATTAAAACATCGAATCAACAAAAAAAGTAAAAATTTTGGTAAAAAACTATGAACTAAGACATTTGTGACACATATCAAGTTTGTGTTCACCACACACTGATTTATTGCACTTGTAGCAACTAGTTTTCGTCATCCTTCGTTTTGCTGATGGGCATATGGCACAAATTTTTCTTTTTTTTGCAATAGGATGACCTGTAGCTTCAGTTTCAAGTGTCAAACTCGATCTACTACTTCCTGGCATATTCAAAATTTGTGTAATCGAGTCGCGCAGGCCAGTTTGAAGTGTGGGCACAAGTATACGTTTTTGCATATGTGGCTCGACTAACTTGTGATGCAAACTTTTCAAATATTCACGCCTCGATAAAGGTTTCCTTTTTGCCTCCAAATTGTTAGTTATGTATATAATGTAACTATTTATGAATGCTATATTGAGCATTCCGTAAAAATTGCATAAAGGCCAGCGTCGAGTTTTTCGGCTACAAGATGCAAGAGAGCACATTTGGTCCAACGTATCTACCCCACCTTTGGTTTGGTTATAAAATTCAACCATTGTTGGCTTCTTAGAAGTTTCGTCCATGGTTCCTTCTTCATCACAAGTTGAAAGTAAAAATACTACCTTTTGGGGTTTAGGCTTGTACGAAAGCAATGTGAGTTCATTGTCATAGCAAAAAATAGCAGTACCAGTTTTACGTGTGCGCTTGTTTTGTAACTCTGTCGGTATTTCTCTTTTATTTGATCTTAAAGTTCCAACTAAAGTCAGCTTGTATGGTACTTTTAGTAAGCTTTTAGCCAATGGCACCGAGGTGAACCAATTGTCCATAGTTACGTTCCTATTAGTACCATGTACAGTATGTGTCAATTTTTTTACAAAATATTCCCCGAGTTGCAAGCCATCTGTTTTAGTAAAAGAACCCAGATAGGGCTCTGCGTCTACCATATATTTCGTAGAATTATCTACGAGCATAACAATTTTAATTCCATATTTATTTGGCTTATTAGGCATATAAATTCGAAATGGGCATCTTCCCCTGAAGCCCAGTAACTGTTCATCAATTGTAAGGTAAGAACTAGGTTTGTAGTTTTCTTGACAGGCAGCTATAAAAAGATTCCATAGATCACGAAATGGAGCATAGACATCAGCCTGTCTACGTTGTTGGCGCGTAGACTTATCGTCAAATCTAAGGCAGCTTATTAGAAAGTCAAATCTCTCATTTGACATTGTACTACGGTATCTATTTCCACAAAAAGTAGTATCAAATATCTCCTTTGATGGTAAATGGTTATCTTTCATTGCTGCAGATAATGTAAGAATCCCGATAAGAGCTCTGACCTCACAAGCATCTGTTGGTCTCTGAGTGGCAGTTACATTTTTGTATTTTTCAGATTTTATTACAATCTCAGCATTAGTATAAGTGACAATTATATTTACTATATCATCTGTAATAAAAGACGAAAAGCAACATAAAGGATCTAATTCATTTTTACACATACGAGTGGGGCCTGGTCTAATGTGCACAATGTTTCTTGCGGCTGTTCGGCCTTGTGACTTTGGCTTTAACGATGACCATTTGTGCTTATCTTTTCCGCGAAGTATGTTACGCGATGGTATAATAATCAATTCGTTAGGTTCTTGTGCCGAAGTACCTGGCATCTGTTTTTCAATTGATGCCAAGTCCAAAGACGAAATTTCATCCTCACTCACTGATACATAAGCCGGATCAACCTCGATGTGGTCTTCCTTCTCACTCTCTGACGAATTTTCTTCGTCACTATTATCTTCTAGTAATAGCTGAAGAATCGTATCTAAAATAAAACAATACTACACATTACTTTTATGTTGTAAAAACTAAATAATAAACTTAAAATATTACAAACACAATAGTACAAAATATATCGTTATTACTAACCTTCGTCGATGCGACGAGTCATGGTTGCTGGTCCGGCGCTCACAAATCTCTTAAACAAAAAACACTACCGTCTATCGCGGGGGCACCGGGCCAACTAAGATTACACGAGAGCTACAATGGATGCGATCGCGCACTTAAAATTTACGGCACTTGTTTCGAATTCGCGTCGTCGATTCGACGAAGCTTAGTGATCTAGGGTTAAACAAATCTACTTTGAGAAGCTTTTTAGTGAATTTTACTGTAAATAGATTTCTCAAGAGAGATATAATATCAGAGCTACGATGACATATAAAATATACTAATTGCAGGTATACAATTACAATTCTAAGTGCCAAAATAGACGACTATTATTATATATAATAATAATAGATTATGATATAATATACCAATACACCTACATATATATAAAAGTATGAATTGCTACATGACATAACTTAAGAATGATTTTAGTGACATTATTTATTTATTTTTATTTTTATGTTTTCTAATACTTTATAGAAGATTCTGACGGAGAAAAATAAGAAAATCGCGCAGAAAATTGAATTACAGAAACCTTAAACCACTATTTTAACTTCGCGTATTTGATACTCGTAGTTCGTGCATTTACGTCTATTGGGTTAACTTGTTAGGATTAACTAGTCATATAATAAATAGTTAATAAATATTTGTATTCATATTAGTATTTCAATTAAAATAAGTTTTTGCTCAAGTTTTTTAGTTTTGCTTAAGTTTTTAAGTGTTTGCTTGAAAATTGTTTGACTTATTGTCTATTTAATTCCTGTCAGCAACCACCAGGGCACAATGTATCATATAATAATAATTATTTATATTTATAATTTTAAAGTTATGAATTTTCATAATAATAAATATATACAATATTGATAATCTAAAGAAAGAAGGAAGAGATAAACGGTTTTTCCTTCTATTCTTTTTTATAGAATACTTATTTATAGAATAGCAAGCTTTGATATACTTACTCGTATAGCTCTTAACATAATTATAAGTGTTCGAATATTTATTTAAGTACAAATATAATATTTATTTACTAAAGTTCTGAGTTGTTTCAAAGTTGTTTGTAAATTAATAAAATGTTATTAAAACGTTCCGATCCTTATGTACCTATACTCGTATGTAGGTTTCCAGTCAATTTGTAATTGAACCATATATTTAATCAATATCAACAGCAATACGGAATTGAAACACCTGTTGTCCGTCTGCCTATCTGGCGAAAATGTTGCCTTGTTCATCAAACATGTGTGGACCTTGCGACTTTCTTCGTGCACAAATGAAGAAACGTTGGCTCGTCCGAAAGCATAGCTTCCTAATTATGATCGTTCAATTTCGCATTTAAAATACAGACTTTCCTCTCAAGAGCAGCCACTTTCTCTCCCCTATCATTGATCATTTCGACTCCATTTAGCTCTATAGCCTCGACGATCAATATTTTCCATGCGGGCCATGATGCCCGAGATAGACTCGTGGAATTCTACCTACTCTTTACGCAACTCTCGCGTTTTAGTCATCTTAATAATTTTACTCAGCAAAATTTCGTGACGAAATACGTCACTAGGCAAAGTACCTATATAGACCTCTATTATTTCTGAAAATGTAGACTGTACTGCGCCAACCATATTTAACGATTGGCTAGCCGCAGATTCACTAGAACATTTCTCCAGTTTTACATAGATTGCAATCTATGTAGGTCCAGTTGTTAGTAATTTTACCCTTTTCCGACACAGAAGCGATGATATTTGGGGGAAGAGATTGTTGTAATGAGGAGGTTAGTTCCCATTGCTATTAACATACCCTATTAGGTCGCGGTTGTCCTGGAAACCATCATGACTAATTTATCATCGAATTTGTCATAATGGCTAATAGACCTCCCTTTTCATTCTCACTGGTGCCCCACCAGTGAGAAGAAATACTGATAGCGCAATCGCAATTACCATTCCATTATCATCCATTAAAAAAATAAGCGATGATATTTTGTTCTGCATAAATTACAAGTAGCGACACCTATCAGTAAAAAATGTTTTTCGCATGTCTTGCAAAGCAACATGATAATTTGATTGTTAGCATTATCATAAAATTAATAGTGGTTTGTATTTAAGATACTAGATGGCGCTATATCAGTACTAACATTTACTTGACAAAATAATATCATTCCTCGCAAAATGCCACTCATTTAAATATTTATCAGTTTGTCACTTTAACAGAACACAGTAACTGAATTGGTTATAAATTTATTCATTTGTAGATTTTATCGACTTTCATTTCAATTAAGGGTAGATTTCTTGTCATCAATGGACAAAAAATACTGGATAGACATTGCTCTTTATAGAACCTGAAATTTCGCTATATTTCTAGATAACGCTTATCTTTATATATCTATAAATAGGCTAAATAGGCAATGAATTCAAAAAAATTAAGTACTATTAAAAATAAAAAGAAGATTTTTAGTGGAAATTGTTACTCAAAAATTATATTTATTTCTTAGTTCTTGATATTGTAATTTTTCACTCATACATTGATTTAAATGTCACTTTTACAATGTTAAGAAAAACTGACGCGTTAATTAACTAGATTGTGCTAAATTTAATAACATTTACGTAACTGTATACCATATATTAATTAATTTTTAACATATATTATTTAATTTTTTATACCACAAAGGTGGCAAACTCATACAGCCCGTCTTATAGTAAACGGTCACTATAGCTTGTAGATGCTTGCGACACTAAAGTTGTCACGTGCGCGTTACCGACGCTGAAAAAACTTTAATACATCCTTTTTGAAGAAGCCTGTACAGTTTTGTGTAATAATAACATAATTTTTATCATGAATATTACGATAGGTTGTTTACCACAGTTTATTGCATGCTGAAAATTTTCTATATCTGTAATATCATCCATCTTAGCTACATGAAATAAATGAATATAGTAGTAATATGATGAACGAGAAATACTTTCTTCTATGCTTTAACTAGATAGGTACCTAATTATAGTATAGACGAAAATATTTTTAATCCGTTAATCATAACCTCAAAACAGTGCCATCTATCCAATTTAATCCTAATAATGAGTAGTTCGTGCTGTCATGCATGACTGACTTGAATACTTATCAATATTAAAATCGAATTTTTACTTGTAGCGACATCTAGTACGTACTAGTTATAGCATAGAAAAAAGTCCCCCTCGGGAGCGGCGGGCGCGTCTCGCCGCCGCGAGAAATTACCCGTCGATCTATACGAAATGCTCGCACAGAAGCGCCGTCTTCGTCGCCTATGGGCGCGCACGCGTTGTCCGCGCGTCAAGCGCGATCTCAACTGTTTGGCTGCACAACTGTCGGAGGGGGTGCGGGTGTGGCGTGGGGCCGCCTGGGACAATTTGATCGAACAGGCGACCGATCACGACACCAACCTGCACTGGCTCTGCCGACAGTTGTCAACACGGCCACCACCCGTGTGTCCGTTGCTAGACGCGACGGGCACACGAAGGTACGCAGCCAAGGACAGGGCAGACATTCTAGCCAACCACCTACAGGGGCAATTCCAGCCCCATCCCCTTGTCGTTCCCACAGATCCCACTGTCGTCGAGCACCACGAGCGAGTGACACGGCGCGTAGAGGAATTCCTATCGGGCGAGTCCCCGCCGCTCGCGGGTGTCGAATTCATCTCACCTGCTGAGCTGCGGAGGACCGTGGAGCGCCTCCCCAGGAGGAAGGCGCCGGGCCCCGATGGAATTTCCAACGCCGAGTTAATGCAGCTGCCGCGAAGGTGCCTGGTGGCGCTCACCAGGCTCTTCAATGGAATCCTCCGCACAGGTCATTTTCCAGAGTCCTGGAAACTGGGTAGAGTGATCGTCCTCCCCAAACCGGGCAAGGATCGCCGTTTGCCAGGAAGCTACCGCCCCATCACGCTACTGGCGCACATAGCCAAACTGTTTGAGAGGTTGCTGCTCCGGCGGATGGCCGAACATTTCACTCCTAGGAGCGAACAGTTCGGCTTTCGGTCGGGGCACTCGACCACTCTGCAGCTGGCGCGCGTGCTGCACCATCTGGCCGCCGAGCGCAACCACGGTCGAGTGGTGGTCGGTGTCTTCTTAGACATCGAAAAAGCATTCGACCGTGTTTGGCACGACGGCCTAGTATACAAATTATTACAATATACCAGCACGCCGCCCGCGTATGTGCGACTGGTGGCGTCGTTTCTCAGGGGCCGTAGCTTCTTCGTTTCGGTGGAGGACGCGCGCTCCGACACCCGCCCAGTGGCCGCCGGAGTTCCACAAGGTAGCTGCATTTCCCCGGCGCTCTACGCGCTGTACACGAATGACATCCCTGTCCTGGACAGCCAGCCCTTTACACTGGCCCTGGAACGGGATGTCATGCTCGCTCTGTTTGCCGACGACACGGGATTTTTCACGTCGTCGTACTGGAAGACGAGAGCCGCCGCTCAAATGCAGCGGCAACTGGACCTGCTGCCGGAGTGGTTGGACAGGTGGCGCATGGCCGTCAATGTTGACAAAACGGTCGCGCTACTTGTCCGCCGCAGTCGTACAGCACCGCCGCCGCCCTTAAGGCTCCTTAATAAGGAAATCGCGTGGGAGAGCACCGTGCGATACCTAGGGGTCGACATCGACCGGTCGTTGAGAATGGTGCCGCAGGTGTCGCGTGCCATAGCGCAGGCTCGCGCGGCGCGCGCCTTTCTCCGACCGGTGCTAACTTCCAGGTTGCCGTTACGGACGCGGGTCTCTATCTATAAGACCTACGTCCGTTCACGGTTAACATATGCCGCACCCGCTTGGTATGCACTGTGCTCTCCGACGCTTAGGCGCCGGCTGCAGGCCCAGCAAAACATCGCTCTCCGCTTGTGCACGGGAGCGGGCAGATACGTCCGTAACGACGTTATCGCCCGCGGCTTAGGGGTCCCAACGGTGGAGGGTTCGTTGTCGACATGGCGAGCAAAATGTTCGCCCGTGCCGACAACGGACACCATCAACACTTAAGGGGCCTCGCGCCGCTGCATGCGCGTCCACCGGACGGCCGTCCCACGCCTAGGGACCTCCTGTGCACAGGCGAATAGTGATCGTGAT